TCACACCACCCTGCGCATGAAGCACCCACCCATATATATATATATATATATATATATATATATATATATATTATTATATATATATATATATATATATATATATATATATATAAATGCACACACACATATATATGTATATATATACAAATATATGTGTGTGTATGTGTACATATATATATACATATATATATATATATATATATATATATATATATATATATATGTATATATATACATACATATATATATATATATATATACATATATATACACTATATATATTATATATATATATACATACATACATATATTATATATATATATATATATATATATATATATATATATATACATATATATATATATATATATATATTATATATATATATATATATATTATATATATATATATATATATATATATATATATATATATATACACGTATATAAATATGTGTGTATGTGTGGAATACACGTATATACAAACATGCATATGTATATATTTATATATCTATATACATGTATATATATGTATATACAGTATATATGTATATATATATATATATATATATATATATATATATATATATATATAGAGAGAGAGAGAGAGAGAGAGAGAGAGAGAGAGAGAGAGAGAGAGATGTATACTTACATATACACGTGTATATCTGTGCACACACACACACACACCACACAACACACACACACACACACACACACACACACACACACATATATATATAATATATATATATATATATATATATATATATATATACATGTGTGTGTATGCGTGTGTGTGTGTATGTGTGGGTGTGTTTTTTCGTGGGTGGGCGCGCATGTGTGTATGTATGTATGCAAATATACTCTATAATATATGAAATTATAGACAGATGAATGAATAGGCTAAATTAATATAAAAAGCAAACAAACCGAAGGAACACGGTGGCGGGGGCACGTCCTGCAGAGGGACCATTTCGCAGTAGAACTCCTCTTGCTGAGACTCCGCCCCGTCGCCCTCCGCGGGAAGCACAGCTCCGAGAACGGGAGGAGGCGGAGGCGGTGCTCCCGACGCAGCCGGACGGGGCGGACTCCTTGGCGGGATCGCTTGGCCACTGCCCGGCGGCGACACGAGAGGGGCAGCCGTCGCTGCTTGCCCCCTGTCAGCCTCATTTTGCGGAACCTGGTTATTCTGTGGGATAGTAAATTACCTGATAGAGAAATGAAGTACTTATACTTAAATACTTTTACTCATTTAGGTACGTCGTAGTTCTAATGGAAGCTAAATTTCCGTTATAAGAATATACAATGCAAACTTACGCTTCCCTGACGCCGTAAGTGACATAGCAGACCGACGACAGTGACGCCCAGTGCAAGTACTAGCCCGCCCAGAGCAGCCCCGAAAGCTGGGGAAGTCCAAAAGTCTCCTGCATAGACAAATATTTGGAGTTCAAGTCAGCAGATCATGACATAATTTTTGCTCGAACATATAATTTACAAAAATGCAGCGGTTTTCATAATGCAAGACTAAAGCCTGAGTATACATATCATCAGACTACAGTTCAGTGTTCAGGCATGGCCAGACATGTGCATCTGATATACTATACTGACTCTAGATGTTTTTGGATATTATCTTCGTCGATTATTATGAGTGGAGGTGTAACATTCAACTGCATTTTAAGGTGTGCAGCGGGTGCTTGCTCTACTGGATGTTTTCGGCTAACGACTCACCGAAAAAATCGAGTTTCGTTAGCATTTGGTAAAACAGGACATATAGGCATATTGAAAATGTGGACTGGCAAGTGCCAACTACACAGTGTTAAAAAAAAAGCTGCAGCCATAGAGTAGATTATATTTATCGTAGTTGAAGCAAACGATGTCAAATTATATATATATATATATATATATATATATATATATATATATATATATATACACTGTATGTGTGTGTGTCTGGATAGCTGTGTGTATGTGCCTGGATAGCTGTATGTGCGTGTAAGTGTGTGTATGTGGTATGAAAGCAGAATCTGAACTCTGATTCCTCCAAACGACTTGGGGCACGGTATTATCGTCTCTGAGCTCTACACTGCAGAGCCCATGTACTGAAATTTTATAGGCTACTTTTCAAATCTGATGATTTGAAAAATTGTTATTGTCTTCATAGCTCTATTAAGCCGATATTCCCTCATTAATTCATGGTAATCATAAGATCTGCACTGCACTAGCAATAATGGAGCAAGATCAGAACACTGACCTCCGTGACCTGCGTCCTGGACGTGCGGGCTTCAAGGAATAAGCAAAAGAGAGGGGGGGGGGGTACAATGGTAGAACTCGGCGACCAAGCGCGAGGTCATAAACTAGGCCGTCAGGTTTTATTTTCTCAGGATGATACGGATGCTAATAACGATCATGTAATCATGAAGTTCGCTATTATTGTAATTATTAAATTCAGTTTGATGATATCGATAAGAGTAACGTTACTCATAATGATATTTGCAAA